AAGCGCTTCGCGCACCCTGGAGCCACGCGTATTGGGAAACGCTAGGAAGCCACGCTCCCGGACCCGCTGCCGGTTCCGGCAACCTGCTGCGAGAATCGTGGACCGGCGGAGATGGGCGTGTGCTCCCTCACCACCCACCGCCGGCTTCTTATCTGAAACCCTCAGCTCTCCAGGAGCTATCCGGGAAACTTGTAAGCGTCCAAAACCCGGATAGCGAAGCCAAGCGCGGAACGCCGCACGGGACCTCTGCCAGGCCGCCTGAAACGATGCGCGGGACGCTGGAAACCTCGCAGGAGACGCTTGCAGGGGCGCCGTTTACGATGCGTGGGGCCCTGCAAAGCGCGCAAGGAAGATCTGCCTAGGAGCCTGGAAGAACTGCCGAAGCTCTTCCGAAGCTCTGCCGAAGCGCTTCGCGCACCCTGGAGCCACGCGTATTGGGAAACGCTAGGAAGCCACGCTCCCGGACCCGCTGCCGGTTCCGGCAGGGCTGCTGCGAGATCGTGGACCGGCGGAGGTGGGCGTGTGCTCCTCACCACCCACGCCGGCTTCTTATCTGAAACCCTCAGCTCTCCAAGGAGCTATCCGGGAACTTGTAAGCGTCCAAAACCCGGATAGCGAAGACACCTCGGGACGGGAGATCTTCCCGGGGGGCTCTGGGAGCTCCCCAGCAGCGCTGCTGAAGCGCTACCAGGAACGCTTCCATGCGTGCCTGCACGCAGGCAGGGCACGCTTGGAAACTTGCCGGAAGCTCTCCCCGCACCAGTTGCCGGGTCGCCGGAGGCGCTGCGAGGCTTGAGCCGCCGTGGAAAAGCTCCTGGCGGGCACACCACCGTCCGGCTTCTAATCTTAAGCCCTTTAGCTCTCAGCGAGCTCTCCGGGAATTTAGCTGTCCTGTAGCCCGAGTTAAGTTCCCGGAGAGCTCGCTGAGAGCTAAAGGGTTTAAGATTAGAAGCCGGACGGTGGTGGTGCACGCCAGCAGCCCATCTCCGCCGGTCAAGAAGTCTCGCAGCAGGTCGTTCGAGCCGACAACTGGTCCGGGAGAGCTTCCGGCAAGCTTCCACGCGTGCCTGCATGCGTGCAGGCACGCATGGAAGCGTTTCTGGCAGCGGTTCCGCCGCGCTCCAGGGAGCTCCCAAGGCTCTCCAGGAAAGATCCCCCGTCCCCGAGATTCTCTTCGCTCTCCGGGTTTTGGACGCTACCAAGTACAGAAAACCGAGAGCGTCTGTCAAGATGACTCGAATAATACGAATAGGTTTGCGCGCCTAGCTCGGCTAGCAGACCGAATTCAGACCTCTGGCTTCAACAGGCGAACGCGCCTGATCATTTTGAATCGATTAGCTGGCTTACCAGCTCTTTAGCTGTCCTGAAGCTCGAGTTATTTTGAGAAAACAGACACCGCGTGACAAGATGACTCGAAACGGCCGATCCCGCCCGTGTGCTTTTTGGGAGTAAAAGTTACCCGATCGAGCTGAGATCAAGATGACGAGCGGGATTAAGATCGAATATCACGGGAAAAAATACTAGAGCTCAAACGAATTGTTGAATTTTGAGAACTAAATTTTCAACCGACCAGAAGTCAGCAAAAGGTCAGTCGAGATGTTTCTTGCCCACTAGCTCTCCAACGCCCCGGAATTACTGGAACCGGCGGTAAACCGTCAACCTGGTTACCGCCGGGAACCTCGTATAGCTCTTTTCTTGCGCAGCGATCGTCGGAACACATAGAGAAAGCTTCTGAGGCGAGAAACGAAACACTCGAAAAATCACGTTTTTTCTGCTTTTATAGAACCTCGGTTCCTCCAAATGTTTTGATAGTAATACTGCACCTATAGGCCTGAAAATTTACTGGCGGACGCGCCATAGCCCACTACAGGTGCGAAAACAATAGTTTCTCAAAATAAATAATCAAATATCTTTCAAGTATTTGCAGAACCACCTAAACTGGAACCGGCGGTAAACCGTCAACCTGGTTACCGCCGGGACCTCGTATAGCTCTTTGCTTGCACAGCAATCGTCGGAACACATAGAGAAAGCTTCTGAGGCGAGAAACGAAACACTCGAAAAATCACGTTTTTTCTGCTTTTATAGAACCTCGGTTCCTCCAAGTGTTTTGATAGTAGTACTGCACCTATAGGCCTGAAAATTCACTGGCGGACGCGCCATAGCCCACTACAGGTGCGAAAAAAATATTTTATAGTCAAATATCTTTCAAATATTCGCAGAACCACCCAAAAGTTGTCACATTGTCCGCCTCGGCCGGGTGGGCCAACTGGAACCGGCGGTAAACCGTCAACCTGGTCACCGCCGGGAACCTCGTAGAGCTCTTCTCTTGCACGGCGATAGTCGGAACACATAGAGAAAGATTTTGGAGCGAGAAACAAAAAACTCGAACAAATCATGTTTTTCTGTTTTTATTGAACGTCAGTTCCGCCAAGTGATTTGATAGTAATACTGCACCTACAGACCTGAAAATTGTACTGGTAGACGCGAAATAACCCACTACAGGTGCGAAAAATCTGCTTTCTCAAAATGAATTGTCAAATATCTTTCAAATATTCGCAAAACCACCCGAAAGTCATCACTTTGTCCTTTCTGGCCGGGTCGACCGACTAGCTCCACCCCGCGCCGGAATTCCTCTAGCTCATCGATGCCGAAGAGCTCTACGAGGTACTAGCTCCACCCTGCGCCGGAATTCCTCTAGCTCATCGATGCCGAAGAGCTCTACGAGGTAAGTTGTCACATTGTCCGCCTCGGCCGGGTGGGCCAAGTAGCTCCACCCTGCGCCGGAATTTATTTCTAGCTCATCGATGCCGAAGAGCTCTACGAGGTACTCTTAAGCTTCCAGCAAGAACTTGCTAAGGGAAGCTCTACGAGTTATTGTCCGCCTCGGCGGGCTGGCCCAACTAGCTCCACCCCGCGCCGGAATTCCTCTAGCTCATCGATGCCGAAGAGCTCTACGAGGTATTACTCTTAGCTTCCAGCAATACCTTGCTAGGGGAAGCTCTACGAGTTACTAGCTCTACTTTGTGCCGGAAGTCCTCTTAGCTCTTTGCTCAAGAGCTCTACGAGGTAGTATTCGTGGACGGCTCTGGGGAGCCCCCCCGAAGCGCTCCTCAAGCGCTGCCAGAAACGCTTCCATGCGTGCCTGCACGCGTGCAGGCACGCGTGGAAGCGTGCCGGAAGCTTCCCCGGACACAGTGCCGGGTCGAAGAAGCTTTGGTGGGGCCAGAGGACCGCCGTGGAGGAGCTCCTGCGGGCACCACCAGCGTCCGGCTTCTAATCTCAAACCTTTTAGCTCTCAGCGAGCTCTCCGGGACTTGGCAGCGTCCAAAACCCGGAGAGCAAAGATAATCTCGGTGACGGGAAATCTTTCCTGGATAGCTGCGGGGGGCCTCCTGGAGCGCTGCGGAAGCGCTGCCAGAAACGCTTCCATGCGCATGCACGCGTGGAACCTTACCGGAAGCTCTCCCGGACCCGTTGCCGGCTCACCCAGGGGTGCCTTTCGACTGATTTTTTCCGCCGGCAAGCGTCGGCGATTTTTTTTTCACCGGGTGTATTTTTTTTCGCCCGTTGAATTTTTTTCGCCGGGTGAATTTGCAGGTTTCGCCGGGTGAATTTTCATGCCGTGCAATTTCGCCGGGTGAATTTCTGCATTCTTGAATTTCGCCGAGTGCACCTTTGATTTCTCTCGCGATCGTCAGGGCTCCCCGCCCTTACAGGGATAACACCTACACACCATTACGTTCGGCGATGGTTATACATCAGACCATGCGCAGATCGGAGCCACGTATAGGGGAGGGACCAGAGCAATACTCACCCGAATCATAAAAAAGTGGGAGGACGAGGGCGAGGACGAGGAGGAGGAGGAGGATGAGGAGGAGGAGGAGGACGAGAGCGAGGACGAGGAGGAGAGCAGCCCCAGCAGCAACAGGGAGGGGGATGGGGCGCAGCAGGAGGGGGAGGGGAAGGACCAGGAGCAAAAGGGGAAGAAAAAGGAGCAGTAGTAGGAGGGGGTGGAGGAGGAGGAGGAGGAGGAGGAGGAGGAGGAGGAGCAAGAAGAAGAGGAAGCGGAAAAGGAAAAGGAGGAGGACGTCGACCCTCTTGTTTAGCATATATCTTTCTCGATATATATATATATAATATACTTTCAGGCTTGGCGCTCTTGTTCGACCGAGGGTAGGCCAACTTAAATTGGTGCCGCTGCGACGTTGTAATGTGCACTTTGGGGGGCCATTCACACCTTCACCATGATTCCTCGGGTCCACGCGTGAGCGGGGGCTTCGGAATCGTGGGATGATGGTGTAAATGATTTGTTACCGAAATCTTCCTCCTCATTCCTCGTGCCGCAGGGCCCCCTCAGGGTCGTAAGAATCGTCGTTCTGGTCCTCTTTAACATGTGCTTGTCCTCCTCCTCGTCCTTATTCTCCTCCTTTCTTTGCATCCTCCTCGTCCTTATCGGCTCTGTTCTCTCATGCTGTTTCGGTGTCACGCCATCCTTTTAGTTTAGCTCATGTATCTTTACCGTTATCTGTGAGGGGTGTGCCAACATTGCGCGTGGTCCGCGGGGAATCCAAGGTCTCGCAGCCGTGTTTTTTTGTTGGTTGGTTTCTGTATGTGGTTGCCTTTGGTTCTGGAGTCTTGTGGGTGACATGGCCCGCAATCGCAACTGTGCCAAACTTCTCCATTCTCGGATCCAGCTGGGAGCGGCGACAAACGAGGAGACCAGGAGGCAGATGGAGACCACTGGCAGGAGAGGCGATACGGAAAAGGGATATTATCGATGTTCCGATGTCTCCCCAAACCGTTCCACCACAAGGCTAGCAGTGCAAATGCGTTCTGACCAGAATTTCGAATTCGAATCCAGACTTGGCGGCGAGATTTGGAGGGCGGGGGGCAACATCGGGAAATCAATTCGTTCGCATCGTTTTACGTCAAAGCAGCTGCGACGTGGATCAATCAATGCACACCATAGCCTGCTCAGGCTGTGTGCCCTCTAAGTCTTCCTTCGTGCCCGACCACAGGGGCGCCATCGCAAGCCCCACCGTGGGAAGGGCCATAGCATCACCCACGGCTGCCAACCTGCAGTCGGGGTCGACTCGCTCTAGGACGGACGGGTCGAGGCCCATCAGGGCGCACCTCTCTTCGGGCCTCAGGAATCTATTGTACTTGGGCATGTTGTCGCACACGCCCATCAGCCAGAGGTGTTCGTTTGTGGCGGTCAGGGTGGGCAGGATGCCGTCAACGCGAACCTTAGCTAGGCGAGAGTATCCTATATAGGATTTAGGTGGTTGGCAGAGGGGAGGGGGACTGGAGTGAAGGAGGAGGGAACAAGCGGGATGGGGCGATGTGAGTAGGGAGGGGAGACAAGCATTAGGGGGAGAGAGGATATGGAGAGGTGGGACGGATAGGGAGGAGCAGCCGAGGACCGAACCGATTCAGTTCTGCTGTCGGGCCGCAGCGACAGGTCGAAGACTGCCACGGCGGGGTTCGCCTCTTGTCGCTATCGTTCGGTTAGTCCTCCGTCCTCGTTCCTCTCTCCTTCTTCTCCTTCCTCCTCCGACCCTGGCCTGCGAATCCACTGCTAGCTCCGTCAACTTGGTGAACTCCTGCAAGTTCTTGGTCTTGCAGGGTCACCAATATTATAATATAATCCTCATCCTACTCATACACCTCCCCCGATCCTCCCTCGCCGATCCTCGCCCTCCCCCTTCCTCCCTCATCCTCCTCTTCCTCCTCCTGCTGCCCCTCATCTTACCTTCCCCCCCCGCTCCTCCTCCTCCTATTCCTCCTCCTCCTCCTCCTCTTCTCCTCCTCCTCCTCCTCTCCTCCTCCTCATCCTCATCCTCGTCCTCCTCCTCGTCCTCGCATCCTCCTCATCCCCGAGCTCCTCCTCCTCATCGATCTTCCTTTCCTCCTCCTCCTCCTCCTCCTCCTCCCCATCCTCCTCGTATCCCTCCGCCTCCTCCACATCATCATCAACAGCAGCATCATCATCAGCATCAGGTCCAGCATCATCATCACCATCATCGTCATACTCATCATCATCACCATCATCACCATCATCAGCATCACCAGCTTTATCGCCGTCAGCTTCATCATCATCATCAGCATCATCATCAGCATCATCATCCTCGCCGTTCGTAGTCCCACGCTTTATGCACAACCAACAACCACACCCTCATCGATGTAATGCGTGTATTTCTCCCTGTGCCCACCATGGTCGCCGTGAGCTTATCGAACTCCTCTGGGTGGTCAGTGCTGAGGAAGTCCCTCAGCGTGCGCTGGCGCATCTTGATGTTCTCTGGGAGGAGCGTCGGCATCGGGCTGGCAAACGCGAACCCCAAGCGCCCGCACACGAACGTCCTGAGGGTGGACGCCGCACGCACACCGCAATCCCCTCCCCCCACTGCCCATACACATATGGACAGATCTGGGCAGATCTGGACAGATCTGGACAGATCTGGACAGATTTGGACAGATCTGGACAGATCTGGACAGACCTGGAGACGTATGGACATGTGGGTGGGATCAGTTGGTTTTCACAGCTCGTCCTCTCTCGGTTCTGCGAGAGCCCATGGTCACACGAGTTCACAGTGGTTGCATAGATAGCCCATTTACTACCCAGTGCATCTGCCAACGATCGCACACATTCGTCTGCTTGACTCCTGTGAGCGCCTCCAAGCATGAACGCGACGAGGAAGGAGTTGACCCGCAGCGCAAGCGTCTTGATGCAGGTGACGCATTTGACGAATGGCTGGGCGTCTGCACTTGACCAATCCGACTCGAATAATGGTGGGTCGGCCACCAGGAATTGCACGTTCGGCAAGTCATTGGGGTCCATCTGCATAATATCACCGACAGTGTCGCCGACGTAGATGCTGTTCGTGTCTGTGTTCACATCGCGGATCTGGTTCCGCAGGCCGATGTTCTTCTCCATGCTAGTACATGCGTCCACTTCAATCTCGAGAGCTTTCATAGCTGCGAGCGGCGTTTCCAAACCACTACATAAACTCACCATGTCAATCACATACGGCATGGGCTCAATGAGAGCCTTCCCGATCTCGACCCATGTGCGGCAGTCTCCGCCCGATTGGCTGCTGGAGGACATTGTGCCGAGCCAAAATGGCTACGTATGTATATTGCATGGGGCCTCTGTTCGAAAGGATCTGTTGGCACACGACCAGCGGGCCATGACGATCGTCATGGCCCGCTGGTCGTGTGCGGGGCGGCGGGGCGGAGGGCGGGGTGACCTTGATTTTCCACGGTAGGCATCCCGACTTCCGATGTCATTTAACGCGTGGCCCAAACTGAGCAGTCCTCGATTCTGGGCAGCAGCCGAGCACGAATGAACACTCCGTGTTGCCACCGCAAGCGGTGGGCTGCCGACGCTTGGCCAGCCAATACACGATTCAATGACTCATCTAGAAAACACGAGTACGTGCGAGGATTCCCGCACCACCGTGCCCTGATGCTTAGGTGCATGAACATGTGATGTTTTGGCACGAGGTGCACGCCAGCTGCCTCCGCGAGAAGCACATGCCTAACTGCTAGATCAACCAGGCGCTGCAACGCGGCATCTGACATGATCCTCGGAGATTGTCGTACTAGCTGCATGTATTCCTGCAGGACCTCTCCAGCCAACAGTTTTGGCCGTCCAGCTTCAAACTGCTCCCCAAACCTGACGCACACATCAACAGCGTATGGCAATAGGTCACCTGTTTCGGCTGCCTTGAGTTTGAGCTGTCGGTTGGTGGTGCTTCCCAGCACGGCTAAGGGTAAACGCTGAATCTGGCGATCTATAGGAACACCGCTTCGTCTGTACCATTTTTTCATGTCATCAAACAGCCTTTCAACTCCTATTTTGATAACTGTAGATGGGGGGCCAGGAATCTGCCACACGTTAGCGTCAAGCGTTGACCACAAAATGAGCCCAACGTATGCTTGTATAACGCCTAAGTATACCGTGTGCAACGCATCCACCTGAACAACGCGGGACGGTGCGCATCCAGGTAACTCGAAAATTGGGTTTCTCCTGGTCACTCCATCCAATCTCCGGTGTCTTGCATCGACACGTTCCCTCCAAAATTTGATGTCAACTGGTAGTTCAACGCTGGCAATATTAGTTACATTCTGCAAAACAGTGGAAGGCTCCAGCCGATCACCTCTTTTTAGACACACGTCACCTACTTTAACATCATTGTGTAAGATCATGCCTTTCCTGTTGGACGAGTCGTCGAACCTCAAACCACCCGAACCTATAATGAGACCACGCTGATGTTCACTCTCAATTCGAACGCAGACTTCATTACGACTGCACGCCTTATCATATGCATCATCCTCGAGTTCCTCGCCCCAACCGTGCCCATGTATGGACACGTGCGAGACGTCAAATAGGCGGCCCTCAAAGTTAGGGCGGTGGTGGTGATAGAATCTCTCTCCCTCTCTCTTTAATTATATTTATATATATATATATACATATATGCCATGCCCCCTCCTCAAATCCTTACCGTCCTTGTCCTCGTCCACGTCCTCCCCCTCGGTTCTTCCTGTGATTCACGCACCCGCCCCCCCCATGTGGCCGAACGGTCATTAATTGTATTTGGGCGCGTGGCTGAAATGAGGTTATGCGGTGCGGATTGTTGTTGTTGGTTGGTGTTGTTGTTTGTTGTTGTGTGTTGTTTATTGTTATTTCTTGTTGTTGTTGTTGCTGTGGTTGTTGTTGGTGTTGTTGTTTGTTGTTGTGTGTTGTCGTTCTCCCCGTGACCCAGCCCGCGACCTATCCGCGACCCTCCCGCGACCATCCGCGACCCGCCAGCGATCCACCCGCGACCCACCCCACGACCCAGCCGCGACCCAGCTGCGACCCACCCCGCGACCCTCTTGCTATAGCCGCCCGCGGCTCACCCGCGACCGAGTCCCCGACCCACCCGCGACCCACCCGCGAGCGACCCATGCGCGTTGCGACCCACCAACATTGCTTTAATGAGCAAATCGGCGCCTGCCCTGGGCTCGTTGTGTAAGTTATGAAAAATTTGCGCTCGCGGCGGGCTTTTTTTCAGGGCCTCGCAGATTGCGGGGTGCACGTGGTGCGTCCTCGGCGGAATTGCGGTAGCATCCAGATAATTTAGGCTTGGGGGAAAGGCAGAACAAGCATGGCCGATGGTGAGCCTGCCACGTCGACAGGGCGAACGTATTCGCGTGCTCGGCCCAATCACCCCGAAGTTCTACAAGAATAAACCTTGCTGGTAACTTGGTTGGTTTTGTTGCCTGCACGCTGCCTGGGTCCCAAGGTTTGCCATCCCATCGTTCGTTCGGCCTCAATCCAGTCGCGGCTGCACTCAGGCTCCAGCTGATAAAATTCATAGTGGGGAAGGTGGAGCACCATCCGCGACACCCGCAATCACAAAACGTACATTTAGCGTGAACCCCGAGCAAATGACGTTTGCCAGACGCAAGGTTATGTACTGTGTAGTTCAACAGCGTATCTCTCTTACCTACTCCAATTGATTTAGTATAGCGTACTCCGTCGCAATATATTGCAATTGGGTAGCATGGGCGATGGTCCCCGTCTATGTGTCTCATAGGGTGGTCACTATAGTTCTTTGCCCACTCTGTATTTACCAGGTTACTTGATATGATATTGGTGCCGTCTGCTTCCAGCTCAGCTGTCAAGCATTCGTGTAGTGGTGCGAGTGGTAGAGGTATCTTCTGTAGCGGATCTTTTATACTGGCATTGGCATAACACCCCACACTCCCCAATGTTCACAGGTCGTTTGTGTTTGTATGATGTGTACATGTTTATGTACAGTATATACGAATATGTGTGCGAATCTAACTATGTATGCATACATCTTTATTTGTATATACATGTACACATGTATATGATAGTTTAAATGTGTGTATGCATGTAAGTATGTATATATGTATGTATGTATGTATGTATGTATGTATGTATGTATGTGTGTGTATGTAGGTGTGTGTATGTATGTATGTATGTATGTATGTATGTATGTATGTATGCATATGTCTGTCTGTCTGTCTGTCTGTCTGTCTGTCTGTCCGTAGGTATGTATGTATGTGTGTATGTATGTATGTATGTGAGTGTGAGCGTGAGGTACGTGTGCATGTGTTACACTCATTCAAACATAGCTGTCCTGACGCTTTCCCTTGTGTTTGCTCGGGGTCATCACGTCGCACAGGTCCACGGGGGGATGCCTAGGAAGAGCCTCGTCGAGATGCTTTTGAAACTTGCCCGAAGCACTTGATGGGTTAAGCATGAGCTTGCGCAAGCCATCGCCCCTCGCACCAGCCTGGACCGCATAGAAGCAGAGCGTGCAGAGCGATTTAGCTGATAACCTTCCCATCGCATATTCTCTCACGAGCGTATCTTCCAGGATATCCCCAAAATTTGCCATATTGTGCTCCTGCTGTGCCCTGAGTTCTCCATCGGGGTCCTCCCAGGAAGCCTGAGAGGTCGCGCCATCTAGCTCCCAGGTGTGCGTGCGAACTGGTCTCGGGGTGCGGCTACGGTTTGTCGGGCGCATCGCCGCTACAAAAATCAATATTCGAGCTCGAACAGATGCACAACGGCGGACGAGGAGAGGTGGAGGGATGAGGAGAGGAGCGAAATTCATACTCGAGGGAGGGGGAGTGCAGAAAACGGCGCTCTCCGACACAATATCTCCTGGCATTGCCGGTCTGAGGCCGCCGGCATCCGGTGAAAAAAATTCACCCGGTGAAAAATAATTGCCTGAACCGGTCCATGCCGTCTAGTTTTGGGCCTGGGCGGATCTGGGATCTGGACAGATCTGGACAGATCTGGACAGATCTGGACAGATCTGGACAGATCTGGACAAGCCTGGACAAGGAGGATGTATCGAGCGGGAGCCTCACCCTGGACAGATCTGGACAGATCTGGACAGATCTGGACAGATCTGGACAGATCTGGACAGGTCTGGACAGGTCTGGACAGGTCTGGACAATTGATCAAAAAAGCCATCGTTCTGCGTTTTTTCTCTCAGCCCCAGATCGAGATTGCTTCTCGAATGTCGAAATTCGGCAGGTCTTTCGACCTGCATCCAAGGTCTCTGCGGGCGACGGGGGTGCACGCGGCCTCGGATGCAGCTTCGCCTGCCATCCCACATGCAAAATGTTCCCCGCGCGCACCCCCTGATCAACTCCCCGCGTTGTCGTCCATCATCCCCTGGATCTGCTTGATGTTCCTCACGCTCGCCAGCAGCTTGTCGGAGAGATCGCTGATGATCCCGATGCTGTTGACGAGCAGGATGCGGTCGGACTCGCGGGGAGGGCGGAGGGAAAAATTGCAACATGATAGAGGAGTATAGGATCGTACGAGATGGGGA